CTTACGTATTCTGGTTGTCGCGTCATCCTTGACGTTGACTCTTGTTCTGTCCAGGACCGTCACACGCACACTCTGGTTGGGGCTGGCCCTCGCCGCCGTGATTCTCAGGGTCTTTGGGAGTTGGACTGGCTTCATGTTCCTTCTGCTGCCACCACCATCGCCAGTTCTTCCGCTTCTGTCGCCTCCGTCACTGGTTCTTTCCAGCAGTGGCATCATCGACTTGGTCATCTGTGTGGTTCTCGGTTGTCTTCTTTAGTTCGTCGAGGCCTTCTGGGGTCTGTCTCAGGAGATGTCTCTTTAGAGTGTTAGGGTTGTCGTCTTGGCAAGCAGATTCAGTTGCCATATTCACATAGTGAGTCAGTGTCTAAGCGTCCTTTCGATTTAGTCCATTCTGATGTGTGGGGTCCGGCCCCTTTCGCTTCGAAAGGTGGTCATAAATACTATATTATTTTCATAGATGATTTCTCTCGTTACACATGGCTTTATTTCATGACTTCTCGTTCTGAGGTGTTGTCTATTTATAAGTGTTTTGCTGCCATGGTTCATACTCAGTTCTCTTCACACATTCGTGTTTTTCGTGCTGACTCCACTGGCGAGTATATCTCTAAGATGTTGCGTGGTGTTCTTGCTGAGCACGGGACTCTCTCTCAATTCTCTTGTCCTGGTGCTCATGCTCAGAATGGTGTGGCTGAGCGAAAGCATCGACATCTTCTTGAGACGGCTCGTGCATTGATGATTGCTGCCTCTCTCCCGCCTCATTTTTGGGCTGAGACTGTCTCCACATCCACCTATCTTATCAATATACAGCCTTCCGCTGCTCTACAGGGTGGTGTTCCTTTCGAGCGACTTTTTGATCGTTCTCCCGATTATTCGATGCTTCGCTCGTTTGGTTGTGTTTGCTATGTTCTTCTTGCCCCTCGCGAACGCACCAAACTGACCGCTCAGTCTGTTGAGTGTCTTCTTAGGCTACAGTGATGAGCATAAGGGCTATCGTTGTTGGGATCCTATTGGTCGTCGGATGCATATCTCTCGAGATGTGACTTTTGAAGAGTCTCGTCCCTTCTACCCACGCCCATCTTCCTCGACTTTTTCAGTGCAGGATATCTCTTTCCTCACTTTTCCTGACTCACCTATCACCCCCGCTGAGACTGTACCTCTCCGTTCCACTTTCTCTCCTTCTCCACATCTAGTTGATTTGCAGCCATCATCCTCCCCGGTCTCCTCGCCTAGCATGTCACCGGGTTCTCCACCTTCATCTCCGGTGACTTCCTCCCCGGTCTCCTCTCCCAGCCTGTCACCGGATTCTACACCTTCATCTCCGGTGACTTCTTCGTCGCCACCCCCTGATTCTACCTTGCCGATTCCTCCTTCTATTATTCCATCTTTTCCTCAGCATTACACTCGTCGTCCACGACCAGTCGATGCCTCTGTGGATGGGTCGTCATCTTCCTCTCAGCCTACTTATGGCTTGCGTTCTCGTCCTCGTCCGCCTGTTGATCGCTTTGGATTTCCCACCGCTGATGCTGCTGTTCTTGAGCCGACTTCTTACCGTCAGGCTGTTGTTCATCCTGAATGGCAGTTTGCGATGGCAGAGGAGATTGCTGCTCTTGAACGCACTGGTACCTGGGATCTTGTTTCTCTTCCTCCCGGAGTCCGTCCGATCACTTGTAAGTGGGTCTACAAGGTTAAGACTCGCTCCGATGGTTCTCTTGAGCGTCACAAAGCTCGTCTTGTGGCTCGTGGTTTTCAGCAGGAGCATGGTCATGATTATGACGAGACTTTTGCTCCTGTGGCTCATATGACCACTGTTCGTACACTTCTTGCCGTTGCCTCTGCACGCCACTGGTCTATATCTCAGCTTGATGTTAAGAATGCCTTTCTTAATGGTGAGCTGCGTGAGGAGGTGTACATGCAGCCACCACCTGGGTATTCTGTTCCTGATGGCATGGTATGTCGTCTTCGTCGCTCTCTCTATGGCCTTAAGCAAGCCCCCCGCGCCTGGTTTGAGCGCTTTGCCTCTGTGATTACTGCTGGTGGTTTTTTAGCAAGTGCTCATGATCCAGCATTGTTTATTCACCTTTCTCCTCGTGGTCGGACTCTTCTTCTTCTTTATGTTGATGACATGATCATCACGGGGGATGACCCCGAGTATATTGCCTTTGTCAAGGCCTGTCTTAGTGAGCAGTTTCTTATGTCTGATCTTGGACCTCTTCGCTACTTTCTTGGGATTGAAGTCTCTTCTACCTCTGATGGCTTTTTTATATCCCAGGAAAAGTATATCCAGGATCTTCTTGCTCGTGCTGCTCTTACTGACGAGCGCGTTGTTGAGACTCCTATGGAGCTCAATGTTCACCTCCGTGCTACTGATGGTGATCCTCTCCCTGACCCGACGCGTTATCGTCATCTTGTTGGCAGTCTTGTCTATTTAGCTGTCACTCGTCCGGACATCTCTTATCCGGTTCATATTCTGAGTCAGTTTGTCTCTGCCCCCACCTCGGTTCACTATAGTCATCTCCTTCGTGTTCTTCGATATCTTCGAGGCACGATCTCTCACCAGCTATTCTTTCCTCGCTCCAGTTCTTTACAGCTCCAGGCCTATTCGGATGCTACGTGGGCTAGTGATCCTTCTGATCGCCGTTCACTTTCTGCTTACTGTGTTTTTCTTGGTGGTTCTCTCATTGCCTGGAAGACGAAGAAACAGCTTGCAGTTTCCCGTTCGAGTGCCGAGGCTGAGTTGCGAGCAATGGCTCTTTTGACGGCAGAGGTGACTTGGTTACGGTGGTTACTTCAGGATTTTGGTGTTTCTATCACTACACCGACTCTGCTTTTATCTGACAGTACAGGTGCTATCAGCATTGCACGCGATCCTGTGAAGCATGAGCTCACCAAGCATATTGGTGTTGATGCTTTCTATGTGCGCGCTGCTGTGCAGGATCAGGTTATTACTCTTCAGTATGTGCCTTCCGAGTTACAGTTGGCGGATTTCCTGACGAAGGCTCAGACTAGAGCACAACATGGCTTTTATCTCTCCAAACTCAGTGTTGTTCATCCACCATGAGTTTGAGGGGGGGTGTTAGAGTTATAATATAAGTCATATACCCCTTTGTATTTATCCCGTTGTATAAGGGGTTTTCTGCATATGTTTCACACCTGTACATGTATATATATATATCGGCCTATGGCCTCATGGGAATACAAGTTGCATATTCCTAGTGGTGAGCGTGCTGGTACATATGAAGCTGAAATTGAAAAGTATTACTCCGTCCCGACCAGTAATTCGGGATGGAAGAAGTATAAGAAATGCTATTTTTCTTTTCAATCACTCTTCGTGGATGATACACGCAGTTTGCCAGGATGCCTACTCCATACACACGCCTTTTGGCCATTCTCAGCGTAACCTATTCGATTTCCCTCCATGGCGGCAAAGAATCCGTTACAAAGACGATGTCAATTAAAGTCACCATCTGAGGTATCTAGGAAAAAACTATCACGGGCCACATCAACTAATAACGATTGAAACGCTTGATAAAGCATGCTTTCATAGTAGGCCTTGAAGAACCTCTGCTTTTGCCAACGTTGTCAACCTGGTTCTAATGGGTTGTTTCGAAAACCAAAGTGTTTCAATGTAATAAAAAAACATTCATGAAATACTGGAATCAGAAACTTTGCTACCACCTCCGTCTCGGTGTATAAGTCATTCGCGTAGTTCTAGGTCATCGGTTTGAAAAATTAAATATGTGTTATATGTCATGAAAAGTATATTACTAGATTTCTGCACGGATGTAGTTTCTAAATATATATTTTTTGTCACATATAATACATATTTAGATAGTTAAATTGTTGACCTAGAACTACGCGAATGACTTATACACCAGGACGGAGGTAGTACTTTTTCATCGTTCACAAAGATTATCGCAAGCAAATCATAAAACTTTAAGAATCAAATTTGTGTCAAAATTGTTGATTTTTCGCTAGCAAGTACTCCCTCAGTCCCATAATATAAGAGCATTTTTTACACTAGTGTAGTGTCAAAAACGCTCTTATATTATGGAATAGAGGGAGTAATTCTTTTGAAAAGGCATAGCTAAAAGTAATTCCGTGTGCTAAACTTCTATGTCTTGCCCAAAGAAGTACTCCTAAACCCGATGAAGCAGCAGGCGTACTGAAAGATAAATGAATTTTGAGTAGTACTCCGTCTGTAAACAAATATAAGAGCGTTTAGATCACTACTTTAATGATCTAAATGTTCTTATATTTGTTTACGGAGGGAGTACTACTGTACTAGTATACATTGGCAGTGGCATATTGAACAACCAGTTTCTTGTCTACTCCTAAACCTGATGAAGCAGCAGGCGTGGCCATGGTCTGGTGCCTGCCTGCCTCCCCTGCCAGTGCATATATAGGATCAGCTGCAGAATAAATTTCAGAACAGTATAGTACCTGCAAATAATTTGGATACACCCAAAATTGCATGTAACCAATGGCATGCTAAAAGGAAAAGAGAAGGGAACACTTGTATCATCAGACCATGCTACCATAATCTTCAAGCCAACAGTGTGGAATTTTTCACTTCTCCAATGGGGAGACTAATGTCACATTTAAGAATCTGTGTTCCAATGCTGACCAAGTGTTGCATGACCTAAAACTTCTTCCATCATCCCAGGACAGCAAACCATCATTCTATACAGTATATGAGCTTATGCCAATCGGCTTGTCTGGAACTAGCACAAGCAAGAGCTGGATCACAGAAAAGCAAGTGCCCAGGGCAGCCTTCCTGTCCTAGACATCTCCTCCAGGGCTCTCTTGACACCATCTATCCGGCTGTTGGTGGCTGCCTGCTTCTTGACTCTCTTCTTATCAGCTCTCCTCTCTGCATCTTCTATCGCCTTTTGCATCTTCACTACGGCTTCAGCTCTCTGCTTCTCCAACTTCTTCTGCATTCAGTTCAGACACAAACAGAAATGTGAAACTGCAGGTGCAATGCTATCAAATGCAAATATTCAATGCAGTGAACTGAAGTATACCTCAGTTTTTGTCAGTTTATGCCTGGCCTGTGCAATCTTATTCTTCTGCCATTTATCGATCTGGGCTTCTTTCTGATTCAACCTAGTTGATTGAAGTAACATCATAAGTGCTCTGTCTAGAAAAGTTACAAAGAACTATCCTTTTGTAACACACAAATCCAATTTTGTTAGTTCATGAACTCTATACACGATGAGTTGATAACGGGTCAGCTCGAATTTTCATTTCAACAAACTAGACAGTCACAAGTCACAAATAGTCATCTATGTACCAATAATCAGGAGCATGCTCTTCTGTTTTATTCCAATGTAAGATAGAGTTTAGCGCAAACTGTTCCTTTATGATAACAAACATATTATTCTACATACGATCATTCCCCAAGCCATTTGATTCCTCGTCATCATTCGCTCGATGCAACTATTCTTGTTATATGAACAATTATTGATTCTGAGCAACTCCCTAGTTAACCGCTAACAAATGCATGTTAAAAAGTAATGATAAAAGATGAGATAAGAGGGATTACTTTTCTATGAGCTTTGCAATCTGTGCATCCTTCCAGGCAACCAACTTGGCGTGGACAGCATTTTCCTCATGTTTCCTTGCAGGGCACCGCAGCCGTCTCTCCATCCTTTGCACTGCAGCTGCACAATCCTCGACCTCTGTATGGTCAAAAGCACGACCATCATGATTGCTTCCCTCATAGGCACTATCCGACTCGAAGTTCCAATCACGAGCTGAAACAATGCAGGATTGTCTCAAATTCATGTTCTGCTGAAAAACTGATAGGTCTCAAGAGATTTAAGCCAATACCTGAGGATACACGAGATGACATAGCATCATCCTGCCAGTCCTTCTGATCCACTGCCTCATCTGCCTCTTCACTTACTTTAGGCAATCTCCATTCATTGACAGCATCAATTGCTCCCATGCGCTTCCCATGGTAATTATGTGAGGAGCGAGCTCGGCGCATCAATCTAGCTGGCGTGGCCTTGTGGACGAATTTTGGAGGCCCTCGACTGGATCCGTTAGCTGCATAGTTCAAGCAAACTAATTGAACATGACATGCAAGAAAAAAATGTGAGGCTGATCTATGAAAGGGGGAGGCAGACAAAAGGCGCAACCTCTCCTGTCCGGCAGAGAAGGGTGCCTGGGAGTCTGTAGTCGGATGTTTCGTGGCGTAGCAGAACACTTGACGAAATCTTCTCTCGTTGGTAACCTCCCTTGCTCTTGTTCCTGAGGTAGTTTGGCTTATTAGCACCTCCCAATTACTTATGAAAGATCAAATGGGTAGAAAGCATAACTAGGTGGATACAAAACTGGAAGCAACAAGTAACAATTGGATGGAACCAGACAACCAAATCATCCTAATCTGGTTGATTGACCAAATAAATGCACCATTGGTATGATTGAGATAATGTTACTCCAGTCTTTGTCCAACTCAAGATTCAGCAAGCAGAAATTTAGCAACAAGCCTGGATCACAAATGTGCAGCCTTTGCTGCTCGTTAGTTAATAATCATTAGGAGTTTCCAATCGATTCCTGGAGCATCTATCAATCAAGAATCCTATGAAACTTTAACAGAATGCTAAGATGTCGAGGCCTTAGTTCCTGGGATCGATACAAGAAACCGAACAGTTCCATCCAAGAACCTACATCTGCTCCAAGACTTGACACAAGGAATCGATGGAGCCCAACACAGCTCATGAACCGCATGCTACAGAGCAATAGTTCCAGACTGACGGCAGGGAAAATCAAGAACCTTTGAGTTATCTACTTGTCAAGCGAGATCCTGTCAGGAGCAACGCGAAAGAGAACCAAGAACACGGGAACCGACCTGCTGTGACGTGACGAAGGAGGACGTGTCGCCATCGTCGCGCCGCTCTCCGCCGTCCCGGCAGCCGTCGCCGCCTTTGCTGCTGACGGGGCTGCATATGGGCGACGGGGAGGCCGGGCGGTGCGCGGTGAGGGAGCCGGCGCTCCAGGCGGCGCAGCTGCCGTAGGAGGACGCCGGGCGGCGGCCGTAGGGGCCGCCGCGCCCGCCCATGGCGGCCATGGCGAGCAGCATCTGCGTGCTCCTCCCCGCGGACGCCTCGGGCTGGTCCTCCGGGTCGGGGTCGGCATAGAAGGCGGCGGCGCCCTCGGAGGCGTCGGAGCGGGCGGGGGAGGAGCCCGGCGAGACGCGGGAGGCGGCCGTCGACTCGCCGGCGCAGGGGAGCGGGAGCGGGAGGAGGTGGTCCATGCGGCGCATGTTGATGCTGCCGCAGGAGGAGACGCCGTCGGGGACGGCGGCCATCTTCTTGGCTTCTTGCTCTGCGCGCCTCACCTCTTCTTGCCCTCCTCCGCGGGGGTGCGTCTGGCAGTTGCAGAGGGCGCGCGATTCGAGAGATTGAGGGAGAGAGGAGGAGAGCCGAAGATGGTACGGATGGGCTTTATATCAAGCGAGGTGGGCTCTGGGCTGGGCCGTCTGGCAGGGACAGGGATCAGGTGACATGCACCTTTGCATGTCACCGTGTGACTTGCGGCCTAAATTCATATTTAAACATTGTAAAAAAATCTGAAAAAAATCATGCATGTTCATAGCACATATTAAGATAATCCCTAAAAAATTTAGATCAAAATTCGAAACATACATCAAGAAGCAAAAAAGAAAATTCCGTTATGAATAGTTGCGAATGATTCTCTGTATACTATTCACATATGAGTTTCTTTTTTTTGCTTCTTGGTGTATGTTTCGAATTTTGATTTTAATTTTTTAGGGATTATCTTAATATGTGCTATGAACATGCAATTTTTTCAGATTTTTTTACAATGTTTAAATATGAATTTAGGCCGCAAGTCACACGGTGACATGTCACCTGATCCCTGTCCATCTGGCAGCTGGGACGGGTGCTTCCTCCTCTCCTGTTCGTGACATCGAGAAAAAACAGCTGCTCAGCAAATGCAAATGCAAAGGCTTTTGTCTCAAAATAAAAAAATGCAAAGGCTTTTGTCTCAAAATAAAAAAATGCAAAGGCTTTTGTCTCAAAATAAAAAAATGCAAAGGCTTTTGTCACAAAAAAAATGCAAAGGCTTTGTCTACCAAAAAAAAGGAAATGCAAAGGCAACATCAACATTCCAGGGCAGACTGGGAGTGAGTCCCTTGACAAACCAAATTAATTCATCACCATCAGATTTGCACGAAAAACACATTGCATCAAGTAGCCGCCGACGTATTTCTGCATTTGCCTAAAAAGACGTATTTCTGCAATGCAAAGTGTGCAGGCAACAAAAACCATTCAACAGTCAAGTCATGTGGGGATAAAACACGAACACTTTTGGTGCTTCCGTCTGATTCATCATCAGGAACTAACAAGTTCTGCCATAACTTATAAAAGAAAATTTCTGTGGCGTACATAAATGTTGGTTAGGATCGTCATGGGGTAGTGTCAGCTTGTTACAACTCTGCCAAAAACACAAATCTGGGCGGTTGGTATCTCAATTGCCCTTGGGCGTGCCAGCTTCCAAAAATGAAGAACTTTGATCCAAATCCAAAGAATTTGCACCAGCTCCAAGTATACGAACTTTGCAGCAGCACCTAAAATTCTGTCTGGACCAAAAGAGCGATCAGGCTAAGCAGCAACACCCGCTGGATAGTTGAGCACCTTGCCCTTGACTCGTTGATGGCCCGGTAAAATCTGCCACAAGAAAAGCTCAATCCTTACGGGCAAAGAAGAGATGAAGCGCATCATCGCAGGGAACGGAGCACACCAAGATGATCAGACTTCATACCCTTTTGAAAAATACTCTGCCCTTCTTTCCCATTCCAGTGCCCACTAGGCTTGCCGCCAGGAGAGATTTGTTGTCGGGCCTCCACTTCAGCTCTTTGAGATTAGAGAAAAGCTCTGAGAGTGCACCAGTCATTTCCTCGTCCTTTATTTTGTTGCACGCGACAACTTGTAGACTCTGCAAATCATTCCATGAGGTGACTACAGATTCGACACCTCGAGTTGTTAATAATGAGCAGCCTTCTAAGGACAGCAATTTCACTCTCCTGAAAAATAAGCAAGATAACCATTAGTCAAGATAAGTGAGACGACTAGTCAAGATCCTATGGTACATCCAATACAGCAATACATAAATATTAGTTTCCAGAAATATAGGCTGTGGACCAAAATGTAATAATACCTATTATTACTCTATAGGAATGTTCATATGAAAAGCATTTCCACAAGAGGATTTTTTTTATGAAAGAAGATTTCTTGATAAGAAAATACCAAATATCCACACACACAAAAACTAGGACTGCTTTGTACTAGCACTTCCATTAAGCTTCCAGGTAGTTTGAAGTTCAATGAATTTCAGCTGAATAAGGCTCAGTATGCAGTTAATCTATTGTGAAAAAATTACCATGAAAGCAGAAAAAAGTTTGTTACAAACAGTAAAACAGGCAAAAGCTGGTACCGCTGCCTGAATGACAAACACAGCCCAGGCGTGCGTCTAGTTATTACCCATTCATTTCTAATAACCAGATGCACGCTTAGGCTGTGTTTGGGGTTGAGATGGCCCTACCATCTCTTGCCTATTTTATGTTGTGCGTCTGGTTATTAGCCATTCATTTCAGCCCATTAGTTGGAAACTGGTGTCGACCAGTTGGCTAGTGTCACACGGCCCGCTGCGCGCCCAGCCTGCCACCTGCGTTCGAGCCCCAAGCTCTGCAGGTTGTGTGCTTGGTTGTTTCTTCTTAATAAAATTGCCACAGGGACCAGTTCCCGTTGGAGTGTTGGTGTCATTTTGTTTCAGCCCACTAGTTCACTAGCTCCGTATTGCATCCAGAAATCTAGGGTGTGTTTGGTTGAGGAACCAAGTAAAATGGAATGTCATGGTTACATTCCATTAGAATGGGTCCATTCCATTCCTGCGTTTGGTTGTAGTCAAATGATGGAATGGAATGGTTCCGTTTCACTGTTTGGTTGAAGGGATGGAACGAAAACGAATTTGATTCAGCTCACCTCTCTTGTAAGAATGCTGATATTCTCATTTACTCATGGCAATTTAAAACTTACCTCATATATCAAGAATTCTTTATATACTCATGGCATTAGAACAAGGATGTTGATTTTTATATACTCATGGCAATTTAAACTTATCTCATATATCAAGAATCCTTTGCTGTTGTCATATATCAAGAAGTCAGTTTTCGAGTGTTGCCAAGAATGGAAAATACTCCCATAATATAAGAGGAAATACTTAGTGTCAAAAACGCTCTTAGATTATGGTTGTCCTTATCAAGAAGTCAGTTTTCGGGTGTTGCGAAGAATGGAAAATACTCCCTCTGTCCCATAATATAAGAGGAAATACTTAGTGTCAAAAACGCTCATATATTATGGGACAGAGGGAGTAGAAGATAAGATCATGACAATCACTATGGATAATGGCTCCTCAAATGATAATGCTGCTAAGAGATTGATGGACAAGATCATTGCTAGGAAATTGGCTAAATTTATTCCTAAGTACTTCCATGTTCGCTGCTGTGCACACATTGCCAATTTGATAGTGAATGATGGCATTGCTCCATTGCAAACTTTGATCAATAAGCTTAGGGATACTGTCAAGTATTTGAAAAAAATTCCATCACACATGTCCAAATTATTGACGTTTTGCATGTCTCTAAATATGGAAGTTGGGAAAGGTTTATAGTATATGAACAAATATGTCCAAAATTTACCTCACAGCTCTCTCGAAAAGATGAAAATATGGAAGAAAATCGAAACCAGGATGAAGGTTAGACCGTTAGAAAAGGTTAGAAACAAAATTAATTAAACGCTTTCAGAACTAGAGGCGGAGCTTCTTCTCAATGAACTGCACGCATTAGTCCCTAAAACCAATCCAAATCGGTGAGATCGAGAGCTCCCTGGTTGCAGCAGCTACTCGTCTTCCCTACTGCCAATGCTGCTGGTCTAGTCCTTTGCTTTCTGATGCGTTGGAGCCACTGCTCTGCTACCAGCCAAATCGGCAACAAAATCTGCGCTGCCGCTGCTCTGCTCTCTTTAGGCGTGACGAAGGACTCCGGGTGGAGGTCCACGCCGCTGCTGGACACCATCTCGCAGCCCACCTCGCTGGTACCAGCCGCCGTACCTACTGGCCCGCCGCCAGAGAGGGTGGCACCACCAGAGAGGAAGAGCTGCGGGACTTGCCGGCGCAGGTGACAGATTGAGAGAGGGAGGGAGGCGAGAGGGGTGGCGACGCTGAGATAATGATGGGGTTTGGGCCTTTGGGGTGAGTGAGTCATGGGGAGGGGTGAGATGCAAGAGCCGTTCTGCGTGGTTCCACCAAATCGGAGGTACCGGTGTGTCCGCATATGGATGGAATATGCCGTTCTCTGGAACGAGTGGGTTCTGGTTCCTCTACCCAACCAAACACGAGAACGACTCCTGGGAACGGAACGAACCCGTTACGTTCCGCCTGACGACTCAAACCAAACACACCACTAGGTATGAATGGCACAAGATGCCCTATCCAGGAAACAAGCTAGAATAGTTGACTTGGTAGAATCCATTTGCAGAGTCACAAAAAAGGTACTACACGGCAGACAAGCTGGATATTAAGGCGTTTCCTGGTCAGGGCCGAAATAATTGCACTCGACAAGATGAGGAAATACATTCCATTCTCATAGAGAAACAGTAACATGCCACTTTTAGGAAGCACTTACTCAGATGCCTTGAGGACTAATCAAATGCAAACAATAAATATGTGACAAACAGCAGAACTGCAGAAGAGCGCTAATGGCATAATAATCTCTTCATGTGAGGGCAATTATCTACCAAAACCTACGTAGCTACATTAACATATAATATGCTGGAATGCTTGGCACTTTTCAGCCGTTCTACCACACCATGAAATTGGAAAATTGGCAACCAGTGGTCTGGGACATCATTCAGCAGGCAATTGAAGACGCAAAAGACATCCAAATATTCAGCATATAACAGGTGCAAGATTGGCCATCTGTTGCTTCCTTTCCCCAGGAAAGTCAATTCTATGCTGAAAAAAATTCCATCACACATGTCCAAATTATTGACGATTTGCAAGTCTCTAAATTAGACATCCAAATATTAAGTTGGATGTCTGCAATGGAGCCTAATTTGTGATGCAAATAGAAGTAACTTATACCCTAATCAAATGAAATTATGCAGACAACCAAGTCAGGTTTTACAGTTTACAGGTCACTAGTGCCTGGCCATAAGAAATTATTGATGATCTGTGGAACAGCCAGTGAGCTACCTGGACGAGCATTTGATAAATAGTTTCACGATGAGGCTTTTATCAACAGAAGAGAAGACAGTTTACTAAAAGAAACAGCATCACACGCAAAGGTCATTTATGTAGGTATGTGCCCGTGCGTTGCCATAGGGGCCAAAATAGTATGTGCCCGTGAGTTGCCACAAGGGCGAAAATAGGTATATGCCCATGATGGATCTACTTTATTGGGTTACCAAAGATAAGAGATTAATTGTTGTAGTATTTATTTGTGTACGGGCTGTGAATTTATTGCTATTTATTGGGTTAGCAAACATGTCTGATCGGTACCAGGTTTTACCATAAATAAAATTCAGAAGGTTGGACGAAGGATTTGACATAAGAGGGAACGGTACTTTCTTTTTAATTACTACATATAAGTAGAGAAAAGGTTTCGCTTAAGCACACACCTTCAAATCGGTGCAACCAGCACACTAAATATATCACCTGACGGACATCAACCTTGAATACGTTAACTACATCTACTGTTTTCTTTAAACAACTAACAGCACGAACAGAATATAGAGCAAAAAGATAACTAAAGTACAGTACTTGTAACAAGATAACATACCAAGGGTATAGAACCACAAGTAAGTGTAAAAATTTGCTAGCAAATGCTATCTCAGTATTGGTTGTTAGAACACTCTCACAGACAACCAGAATGCTACTTAACCTCAAGATAGTTACTTATCATTCAATCGTCAAAAAAGCAATGGTCAGTTCAATCATGCAGGGTGGGCCATGTATTGCAAGCATTCTATCCCCTGACACTTAATCAATGTCATAGCATCCGAACGTTAGATACCTAAGGCTCCTTTTATTGGCAGCATGTCATTATCACAGAGCAAACAAAAAGCGTGAATAATTAAACAGTAGAAGGCGCAAACTGTCCCCATTAGAAACAATCATGATAGTCTATTAAGAAACTAGTGCTAATACATTTGAAGAGTCAGATTGGTGGTTACAGTACCTGCATAGGCCAGCCAACGCAAACATGTCGTCTTCAAGGCCCCAACAATTCTGGACCAGCAACTCGCGAGCACCCTCACAGACCAAAAAGAGAGCATGGAGGGCGTGGCGGTCACGTAGCTGGCACCGATGCAATTGCAGGCTCTCGAGCGTGAGGCAGGCGCCAAGATGTTCAGCAGGCCCAGGATCATCATCAATCCTGGCACACCCCTGAAGCCGCAGGGTCTTGAGGTTGCCACAGAAAGCTAGAGCAGCAAGCCACCCGCCGTCCATCCTGTGCTCAGCAATGGTGAGCTCCTCCAGCATCGCACAGCACCGCCCAACAGCTGCAATGCCATCATAACTGCCCTCGCAACCCACAAGCTCCAGCTTAACCAACCGTTTGCAGCCATGGGCGAGGATGGTGAGGCCGATGTCAGTTACCCCGCCATCTTCACTCGTGCCATACAGCGGCGAGGAGGCGGCAACAATGCGGAGGATCTGGAGGTGCGCAAAGGCAGAGACCGGGCGGAGCGCGAGGTCAGTACACCGGTGGAGCTCAAGCTCTTGCAGCGTGGCGCAGCCTCCGGCGATATCCATGAGGCCGGCGGACTCGGACGCTGCTGTGGCCGATAAGCGCCGGAGGTTAGGGAACCTGGCGGCAACGACGGCGAGGCCCCTGTCGAGCACATCGTCGGCGAGGAACCGGCAAGCGCCGAGCGGCGGGTCCGCGGCGAGGTCTAGGGTTAGCGAGACCGCGCCGCAGGTGAGGACGGGGGAGGCCCGAGACGGCGCGGCCGGGGCGGCTATGGAGGCCGGGAACAGGTCGAGGACCGCCAGGTCGGGGAAGCGGTAGGGGAGTCGGTGCGTGACGAAGGCCCAGTCCCGCACCGCGAGGCGGCGGCGCAGGCGGCCGGAGAGGCGCGTCCACCTCTTGCAGACGAGCGAGGCGGAGGCCGTGAGGTGGGGCTCCGGGAGGTAAGCGAGGACGCGGAGGAGGAGCTCGTCGGAGAAGGCTAGGGTTTGGTCGGGTGCGCGGTCCGGCGGCGGGGTCGGCGGGGCCATGGCCGCGGCGGGCGAGTGCGGCGGCTTCCCCGGGAGCAGCCAGAGGTCGGGCCAGCCCTTGCGCCCGTCGCGGTGGAGCCCGCGGCCGGCGCTGAGGGAGTTGCGGTCGGGCTCAGGCATTTCTCGGCGCTATTGTTGCACTTCCTCCGAACGGCGCAGCGCCGGGCCGCCGCATGGCCCGGCTCCCCCGGCCGCGACCGACGGGCCCGCGGCGAGGGCAGCGGCGCTTCGGTTCGAGGCGTCGGGAAACGGCGATTCGGCGGTGCGGTGCGGCGCGGTGGGGGATCTGAGGTTTGGAAAAAAAGAGAGCGATTGCGGTGGAGGGTTTTTGCGTGGGATTTGGAAATCGGAGTTGGCGCTTGAGGCAGGCGCGGGCGGGGGGCGCGGGATAAGCAGGCGGTGCAGATTCCGTTGGGGCTCTGGGCCAGGCAAGTGTGTGGTGGTGGGGAAAAGTTTTTCAAATCCTTTCCTTGTCTCCGTCTGTGAAGTGTGAACCTCTTCCCGTATCTCTCCATCTTCTCCAAGGAAAAAACTGAGCTTTTCTTCTCGTTTGTTCCGTTGCCGAGCTGGTCGATGTAACTAAACTTTATTTAAATTCCCATAAAAAATTATTTAAATTTATAAACTGTTCGTTGTGAAGGACGAGGGAGGGATGGAGCTTGCGAGGAACAACCGGCCTCGTCGCTCGTCGTGGTAGAGTACATTCAGGCCGTGACGGAGGATGTACACATGTACTCACTGTACTGCGGCGGCGTTAGGTTTACGGCGCCTTTTCGTTGCAAAAAAAAAAAAAGGTTTACGGCGCCTTTTCCTTTTCTTGGGCGTTAAAGTGGTCGCCTGGTTTTTCCTTAAAGGCTAGTAGATTAACTACTCTAGTACTTCTGCTTCGAACATAAAGTCTGCAGTTGCGGTTGCTCTAGGTCATCGCAGGGTTTGTTTTCTCTTTTCTGCTGCTGTTTCTGTTACGGGAGTAGGGTATTTATTTTTGCAGCGAATTCGGTTACGGAAGCTAGAGGGCAAGAAAGGCCACAACGAGCCAAACAAAGGATGGGCTGGGGTATAACTCTGTTGCACGCATGGATCAACAGTTTGGGACCTTTTTTAACATAGTATGAACGCAGACCCTCGTATATATGCACATACACTCATTTTTCTGAAAGCGCGCATGTGAAGTCGCACACCCTGCCCTATGAACTCTCTTTCGAGAGACTGTGCCGACACATTATCTTGAAATCGATGAAGTCGTCACAAACGCCTTCGTAGTCCTCCCACAAGATCTTGATGTTCTATGCAACATGCGCATACGCCTCCGTATAGTCGCACACCCTGCCTTATGAGCATCTTCGAGAGATTAATCCGGCATATTATCTTGAGATAGATGAAATCGCCATAGACGCCTCCGTAGTCGACGGAAATGTCTTCCTCCACTGAACGCACATCGTCGGAAGACCTGAAATAAATCTTGAAAAATGTGAGTATCAGTGTCAAGTCTAGGACTTGAACCCTAATGGGTTGTGGATATCACTGTCCTCCTAATCATTCCCTACAACCGGGGTAGGCAAATCTGGGTCACTATACATCTGCGGACGTGTCTAGACGGGCCCACGGAAAATGTTGGGCGGGTCCTCATTTGCCCTCCCATACAACCACACTTTCCATATGTCAATCATATATTCATGCAAATTCATGCACGTGTATCTTATAGCATAAATTCATCACCAATTCAATAAATTGACGATACAAAATAAACAACAACTCAACAAGTCATTACATCCCAAAATAAAAAACAACAACCCATACATAGATAGACGATAAACGATCCCGTAGCAACACCTCGCCGTGGAAGCTGGCGAGGACGTTAACTACGTTACCTTGCCGAAGGCTTCACGTCAGCGGGCCAGCGTATTACTGTATCTCGGGAAAACTGGCTATGACAGCAAGCTCGTCGACAGCGACGGCTTCACGCGTGCCATGTCACAGATTAAGTGGTCCATCCCCAACCCCTCTGGTTCAACCGACGTCTATCTCTTCGACGGCCCCGCCGCTGATCTCCTTCGCCACGTGATCAAGGATTTGCGATCCTTGTACGCCATCGAGCCCATTTTGGTCATTTCTGAAGGACACGTTCTACGATGGCGACTTGGGATCCTTGATACGTCCATTTTGCATCATGTTTTCTTACTGCTATTATAATATTTTTATGCATAATAATGCTTTATGGAGTAATTCTAATGTCTTTTCTCTCATAATATGCAAGGTTTACACAAAGAGGGAGAATGCCTGCAACTGGAATTCTGAGCCTGAAAAAGCCACGTCAGAGTTACACATTCTGCACATCTACAAATGAGCTAAAAATTTATGGAGAATTATTTTGGAATATATAAAAAATATTGGAGCAAATAACTACCCGAGGGGGGCACCTGGTGAGCACAAGACACTAGGCGTGCCAGGCCCCCGAGGCGCGCCCTGGTGGGTTGTGCTCAGCACGACCCACCTTTGGTGCCCATCTTCTGGTATATAGATCATTCTGACCTAGAAAAAATTAGGAGGAGACTTTCGAAACGAAGCGCCGCCGTCTCGAGGCGGAACTTGGGCAGGAGCACTTTTGCCCTCCCGCGGAGCGATTCCGCTGGGGGGAACTTTCCTCCCGGAGGGGGAAATCATCGCCATCGCCATCACCTACAACTATCTCATCTTTGGGAGGGCAATCTCCATCAACATCTTCGACAACACCATCTCCTCTCAAACCCTAGTTCATCTCTTGTGTTCAATCTTTGTACCGGAACCTCAGATTAGTACTTGTGGGTGACTAGTAGTGTTGATTACATCTTGTAGTTGATTACTATATGGTTTATTTGGTGAAAGATTATATATTCAGAACCATTATGCTATTTAATACCCCTCTGGTCTTGAGCATGATTATCATTTATGATTAGTTACTTTCGTTCTTGAGGTCACAGGAGAAGTCATGTTGCAAGTAATCGTGTGAACTTGATATGTGTTTGATATTTTGATGATATGTATGTTGTGATCCCCTTAGTGGTGTCATGTGAACATTGACTACATGTCACTTCACCATATTTGGGCCTAAGGGAATGCATTGTGGAGTAGTTATTAGATGATGGGTTGCTAGAGTGACAGAAGCTTAAACCCTAGTTTATGCGCTACTTCGTAAGGGACCGATTTGGATCCAAAAGTTTAATGTTATGGTTAGATTTTATCTTACTACTTTTCTCGTAGTTGCGGATGCTTGCGAGGGGGTTAATCATAAGTAGGAGGTTTGTTCAAGTAAGAACAACATCTAAGCACTGGTCCACCCACATATCAAATTATCAAAGTAGCAAACATGAATCAAACCAACATGATGAAAGTGATATGGTGAAATTCCCGTGTACCCTCAAGAATGCTTTGCTTATCATAAGAGACCGTTTTGGTCTATCCTTTGCCAAAAAAGGATTGGGCTACCTTACTGCACTTTATTTACCGTTACCGTTACTTGCTCATTGCAAATTATCTTGTTATCAAACTACCTGTTTCCGAATATTTCAGTGCTTGCAGAAAATACCTTGCTGAAAACCACCATTTCCTTCTGCTCCTCGTTGGGTTCGACACTCTTACTTATCAAAAGGACTACGACTGATCCTTATACTTGTTGGTCATCAAGGCTCTTTTCTGGCGCCATTGCCGGGGAGTGAAGCGCTCTTAGTAAGTGGAAATTGGTAAGGAAAAATTTATACTACATGCTAAAATTTATTGTCACTTGTTACTACGGAGAACCATCCTTTGAGGGGTTTGTTCGGGGTATCTTCACCTCGACCGGAAGCACAAGGACTACGATTGATCCCCTATACTTGTGGGTCATCAAGGATCTTTTCTGGCGCCATTGTCGGGAGTGAAGCGCTCTTGTTAAGTGGAAATTGGTAAGGAAAAATTTATACTACATGCTGAAATTTATTGTCACTTGTTACTATGGAGAACCATCCTTTGAGGAGTTTATTCAAGGTATCTTCACCTTGACCGGAAGCACAATTAGTTGCCCCTCAACCTACTGCACCTACTGGAAATATTGGTTATGAAATTCCTTCGGGTATGATAGAACAACTGCTAGCTATTCCTTATACTGGAGATGGAAATGAACATCCTGATATGCACTTGATATATGTAGAAGCAATTTGTGGATTATTTAAGCTTGCAGGTTTATCCGGAGATGAAGCTAAGAAGAAGATTTTCCCTTTATCTTTGAAGGGAAAAGCATTGACATGGTATAGGCTATGCGATGATATTGGATCTTGGAACCGGAATCGATTGAAATTGGAATTTCACCAAAAAAATTATCCTATGCATATAGTTCATCGTGATCGGAATTATATATATAATTTTTGGCCTCGTGAAGGAGAAAGTATTGCTCTAGCTTGGGGGAGCCTCAAGTCAATGTTATATTCATGCCCCAATCATGAGCTCTATAGAGAAATTATTATTCAGAATTTTTATGCTCAGCTTTCTCATGATGATCGATCCATGCTTGATACTTCTTGTACTTGTTCTTTTATGAAGAAGACTATTTCAGGTGGGATCTTTTAGAAAGAATTTAATGCAACTCTAAAGATTAAGAACTCGATGAAGGTAAAGAGTCAGGTATTAAGCTTGAGTTTGATTGTGTTAAATCTTTTATGAATACTGATGTTTTTCACAAGTTTAGCACTAAATATGGACTTGGCTCTGAGATAGTAGCCTCCTTTTGTGAATCATCTGCTACGCATGTTGATCTCCCTAAAGAGAAGTGGTTTAAATATCACCCCCTATTAAAGAAGAAATTAAAGAATCGGACACAGTTAAAGATGAAACTATTATTTATAATGTTGATCCAGTTGTGCCTACTGCTTATATTGAAAAACCACCTTTCCCTATTAGGATAAAGGAACATGCTAAGGTTTCAATTATGGTTCATAAAAGTAATATTAAAGCACCTAAACCTGCTGAACAAATTAAAGTAGAACCTAGTGTTGCTATGGTTAAAGATCTCCTGGTAGAAAATATTGATGAGCATGTTATTTACTTCTGCGATGAAGCTGCAAGAATTGCCAAACCCGATGAAAAAGATAAACATAGACCTGTTGTTG